GTGTTTGGGTGTGTGTTAGGGTGCGTGTAAGGGAATTAGGTTTATTGAAAAAAATATTAATTGTAATTGAATATATGTTGTACAATGAAAGTGATGTATTTAGTTAGATGGAAAATCTGTGATTGTAAATGTAATTGAGAATATGGATGCAAAAACACTTGTAACCAAATGACATGCTGTATGTAATGAATGAGAATTATGTTGTTTTTTTTAATGTTTAAAAATAAAAAAATGTAAAAAAGTTTCTAAAAATTCACATAACTTTAAAATCTCAAGCAGGATGCTAATGACTTTTCCATGGACTTAGCCCAAAATGATACATTTAATATTTCAATGCACATAAAATGAAACAGTTTTTTTCTGATTAAACAGAACTGGTTTTGAAGACAGAACAGTTAATAAATGAAACATTATCTAAACTATCAGAAGAAAATAATTTCATTTAAGAATATAAAACAGGAATATACATTGATTTTTTTTTATATTTTTCTAAACTTGAACAAAAAGTAACAGTCTTCTCAAAGAATCCTTCACTTCTCTATTTCTTAAACTATATATAATAGGATTAAGTATGGGGGTTATTATGGTGTAGATTGCAGAGAACACTTTACGAAGCCCATACAGTTTGTTAGTATTGGGTACTACATAGATACTCATCAGAGTCCCATAAAAAATAGTCACTACCAAGAGATGAGAACAACAGGTGGAAAATGCTTTTTGTTTCCCTACAGTGGAAGGCATTCTTGTTATAGCTACAATGATAAATGTGTAAGATGTTATGGTTAATGCAGATGGTGGAAAAGTAAATATTGAGCTTAAAACATAAAGAAAAACTTTTAAAGCATATGTGTCCCCACAAAATAATTCTATAATTGGAAAGGTGTCACAAAAAAAATGATCAATTCTATTATTGCAGAAAATTAATTTGGACATGATAATCAGTGTAATAGTGTTTGCTAAAAACCCACTAATCCAAGAATAGGCTATCAGTCTGAAACAAGTTCTGTCATTCATCATGGTGACATAATGAAGCGGTTTGCATATAGCTAAATATCGATCATAGGACATTGCAGATAACAGGTAACATTCCACAGATACAAAAGAACCAAACAAATAATGTTGCACCAAACAAGTGGTGTAAGAAATCACCTTATTTCCAGTAACTAAGTTGAATAATATTTGTGGTAAGATGTTTGAACTGCAACAGGCCTCCAGGCATGAAAGGTTTCCTAGGAAAAAATACATGGGAATGTGGAGGTGTTGATCGAGAGCAACCAGTAAAATAATAAATAAGTTCCCAGCTATGGTCCCCATGTAGATGAGGAAGAAGAGCAGGTACAGAAGAATATGTAGTATCTGATTGTTTCCAAATCCAAGAAGAATGAATTCACCATTGAACGTCTGGTTTTTCATATTGGTAGTTTCAAATAACTGTCTCTGGGAAAAGTAAGATGGCAAAATATATTATCATTTTTCTCTGATTTAAAAAAAAATTGAAATGGGAGGGGGGGGGGCTATGTCCACTACCTCATCAATGTCATTGTTTTTGTTGGCTTTTCTCCTATGATTGATTGATAGATAGATAGATAGATAGATAGATAGATAGATAGATAGATAGATAGATAGATAGATAGAT